CCCTCAAACACCCCGCGAGAGACCGGGGCTTGTGTAGTACCATGCGGGATCGAGCTGATACTGCTTAAAACACATCCTCCTGAACGTCTCAAACACGTCGGCCAGCAGGAGCACGTCCATTCTCAAGTACAGGTCGTGGTAGTCACCCAGGTTCCTGCAGCCCAGTTTCTCCCACACGTTCTGGGCGTGGTCGTTATCGTCCTGGGTGATGGTCGAGTCGGTCGGGTTGCTGTAGAATCGGTCGATTGGGGGCAGTCGGGTCTCGTCGAACTTGGCCCATCTGTCCATGTACTCGTACAGGTACACGCCCTTCCTCATCAGCAGGGGCCGAGTCTCGGCGTCGGTGTAACTATTGGTGATGGGGAAGGTATCGTTGGCCTTAACCAAATTATCTCTCATTCAAGTTGTGGAAGAACACGGGGTTCAAATCACCGTCCAGGGGTGCGCCACATATGTGGCATACATAATTGCTGTCAGCTTGACTCATACGCATGGGAGTGATGGTATAGAGCTTTTTCCTGATGGTTTTCTCTTCCTGTTGTAAATATATACGGAATCGTTCAGCCGCGTCGGGAGCATTCGTTTTCCCATCACATCGGACGACCACGAACCCGAACCAACAGGCCTCATGCTCAAGCATTTTACACGTGAAACTTTTATCGGGCGGCCTTGTGGTAGTGTCAACGTGCTTGATGAGGGCTTCGAAGTGGGCATAAATGATTTAAGGTACAGGCATCTGGTTCTTATGGTTGTTGAATTTTAGGGTGTTGTCGCCTTCTTTTGGCATGTCGATTTGTATAGCCGTCTGCCCCACGCCCAGGCAGTCCTCCCAGTGGGATTCCAGCAGGTCGGCCCTGGTGAAGCCGTGCAGGCACCGTTTGCAGAAGTGTTTCTTTTCTCTGTGCGTTGATTGGTCGTACAAAAGCCTGCTGAAGTGTTTTATCCAGGTGTAGTGGTACTTGTCACCTCGCTGGATCATGAATATATTGATCGTCTTGCGGCCCTCCATTGGACTGATCCTGTGCATGATCGTTTTGTTGCCTCCATGCCCGAAGACGTTGATAGCTATGTTGTTCTGTTTTTTGGTTTTGGTGACCTGAGATATGGGGGTGGGTTCATCCCAGTTGAGCCCGTCATCTTCAGGATGGCTGGAAAGTCTGTCTGAATTAACGTTAGCTGGATACAAGCCTGACCTGACTGCTACCGTCATGCAATCGTCTCTTTTTATTTTTAACATTGATCATAGCATGTTTTTTCTTGTAGTAGGGGGGTAAGTCCAGTTACGATCCACCTCTGAACGGCATGTAGTCGGCTATGTCCAGGTAGTCCTTATCGATTTTATCGACTACCCACCCGGAACCCTGTGCGTGTAGCGTTCTGGGTACTGTCGTATTTGCTGAAGCGAGGGGTTGAGTCGTGACTTCTAGTTTACCCCTGAAGTAAGGTTTAACGTGCTCAATGGACCCGTCCACCTGCTGTTTATCGAGCGACATTTTCACCGTGATTTGGAATTTGAGGCTCCCCAGGTCGGTCAGTTCCTCATTGACTTTACCAGCGATCAGGGTTTTGACGTCGTCGATGTCTACATTCATCCGCCAGCCCCTTCAGATAATTATCTAAAGTGTGTTCAGGCCTCACGAACCATAGATCGACTACTCTGCGTTGGTACAGCAGTTCGACTCGTTCTCTCGCAATCAGTCTGAGCTCCGGGACAGTCGGCATTGTTATACTCAGGTGTATACAATCTCTAATTAGATATTCGGCTATGGAGGGAGGCAAAAAAATGAAGTGCACATACATTTTTTTAAATTTTCACAACGAATCTAGTCCCCCCACCCAGCGCTATATCTAGAATAACCATATCAGTTCTGATCTCAGTGTCATTTTCCCGTTTTATTACATCCAGAATATTGCTGATACATGAACATAAATCAACTGATTCAGTCAAGATACATTCTTTGAAGACATCCAGCCTCGTAACAACCGTTATTTGAAGGTTGATATGCCCCAATTAATGTATTTCCTCTTCGAGTTTGTTAACGATAAGAGGTCTGATGTAGTCGATACTGTTTTCACCTGGAAACATCAACCAACTTCTCAAACCAAAATTTTTCGGGGGTGGTATTTGAAGGAATTGTAGTGAATCTTCTTTAAATCGAATAGTAGTCACTATTATACCTAGGTGTACACCAATATTTACCTGGGCCTATGTGAGGGAGGTAACTCTGTCAGCCTTATCTGCAAGGCGAGGCGGCCCTTACACCTCTATACTGAGGAGGCGCCTACAATCGTTTATGTAGTCCTTTTTCTTCCCGTAAATAAGTTGGTGTCTGAGTACGTTTGCCCCGTGGTCTCTACATAAGCAGTAGTGGCATTTCACCCCGATGCTGCACACGGAGCAGGTGTACTTCATGAACCCATTTATGACACTCCTCATGTGGAAACAGCAGTACCCCTCGGTCCTAGATCTCCTACCACAGGTCTCGGTTTTTCCAATAAGCACATACTGACAACGATACGGAGCAGGTCTCATCTTTGGTATACTCATATGGGTACCTAGTTTAATTGTTTTATGATTAACACAGTCGCTGCTAGGCCCAGCACAACCAAAGGCCGGTTCCCGGTCCTTTTGACCTGGGGAGGGCGCGTAGTACTGAGAGAGTGTGGGGTGTTCACCGAGGGGTTTGAGCTGTTTACGGGTTAGCATGTGGTATTTTTTCGCAGCATCATCGACGTCCTTGAACATTCGAAAGGCATGGTTCTCACGCTCAAGATCATCTATAAATGTATTCGAATCTCTGCATACGTTTCTTCGCGTACTCGGCTTGCGCAGCTTGTAGTTTCCCCACGGCTATGTCGTGCCGTTTTCGTGTCGTTTTCGTTCCGCTTCTACCTCGGCCGTGTTCGACTCCCGTAGTTTCGAGAAGAGGTAATTACTCCCGGAAAATGCTAGGGCATTTACTACAGCCCCGCCGACCATCATAGCGATCGTAGCCATCCTATATACACCTTTCAGGTATGATCCCTTGTCTCACAAGGATGTCCTTTGTAGCCATCGCCATACCCTAGGTCTATGATGAGCATGCCCATATCCTGCAGGTCGAAGTCGAGTTTGAGGACCATTTTTCTTAGACGAGCGTATGCTACGGCTAGGTGGCATGGTATGCGTCGTTAACGAACGTTTTCCCCTCAGAAATAATGTATATAATATGCAGATATAATTTTAATTATAAAATAATATGGGGGTTGACCTCTACTTGTTTCTGTGGGGTCGGGGTTGTGGTTGGCTTTTGGGATTTACGATATAGCATGAATAATGAGAGAGTAGTAGCAGGAGCAGTTGCGCCTACAACTATCCACATATAGTTATTCTTGTGGTGCTTGGCTAAGCCACCTTTTCTACCAGCTGCGACTCTTTTATGGTTCTTCTTCTTGGTGACTTGTATCGGTGTAGGTGTTTCCTCCTCCTCTGGGGTCGAATCATTGCCTGATCTATCTTGTATACTATCACTATTATTTTTTACCTCATTAAATCGGCAATGCTCAGCCATGATAATCGCCGCCGTCACTGGGGCTAAAAACATGCCGTATTTGTGGTACAGTACGCATCTGACAGGCGTGTTCAATAAATGGGTCTTTCTCAAGGTCCTCCCAGAGGTTAAGTCAACGCTCCGGGGAATGGGGAGCAGGTACGACACTATACCAGTGTAGATTTGTGTCATAGCCAATCCTATGGTCTCTGTCATCTCGGCCCCGAGTCTAGCCTCATATCTGACGTACAGCTTATTGATTTCTTCGGCTGACATTTTATGAATTTTATCGGGAGTGTGGTCGCCCCCACCCAAGTATTGTTTGGCTTTACCACCGACCACGAGCGCTACCAGTCTCTTGCTTGTCGTCGTTTTGTTCATCCGGAACGAACATTTGTTTGAGCAGTTCGTCACACTCTATCTTATAATATATCAAACGATTTTGAAATTTAATGATGTAATACCCGATACACATGAAACATAGCGAGATAAAAGTTAAGTTACACACTATGAGAATTTCAAAAGTCAACATTGTATATATCCGTAAGAAACTCTTAACAGTGACCAGTTTTATAACAGGTTCCAGACATCCTTTGCGCTGCTGTAGCAAGTATAGAGGGGGCCGAGTTAAGAATGACGTCATAAAACCCGTGAAACCGAGATCATTTTACTAAGTCCCCGGTAGCACAATTGGTTGAGTGGTGCAGCTTATCATGTATAGTTTGCGCGGCTATACATATGAGTTCATATCCCGCTGTTGCCTCAGAGGAGTCCTTACAACTTTCGGTGATATGAGGTGTTTCAGTAAGGCTCAGGATCATATCAGTTGAGTCCCTGAAAAGGGCACTCTCTGAGCGGGGCATTCTCATGGCGAGAGAAAGGCAGCCGACGCAATTCCCATTGGGAGAAGCGCAACTATCATTATCGATTTCACCCTTGGGGAATTGTGGCTGCCGGAGACGTTTTGCTACTTTTTAAAACATTTCTATCTTTCTATCTTTCGGGTAACCGAGTGAACCCCACGACACAATAAGACCACATAGCCAGTAAACTTAGGGTGCAAACGAAAGAAATAGCGGCGTAAAATAATGGTTAACGAAGGCTTCATTTCATAAATAGAGGCTTATGTCAGACTTGAGCCAGACTTGAGCCTCCACAGATAAAGTCAACATTCAGACTTGATCCATAAACCCCAGTCAGTATACTACTTACCATGTTGTTTTAGTGTATTACTGGTCTCATGTTTGTATTACATATTCATGCCTCAACACTGTTAAACAGTTATATAATGCACAATGCAAATTCGCAAACATCCAATACCTTACATAACAGTCTGATAATGACTACCGTCATTCATCTGAATGTGAGGTAAGCCGATATTGGCCGTGCTTCTAGTCACTTGTACGATTCCGATATTACATTTAATCAAATCACTCACTGCAATCATGAACAAACAAGGAATGTACTCACGTTCTGCTGGAATAATAGCGGAGAAGACGCTGACGATGATGATGACTGAGTATAACATGGATGCCGCTGACAAGTATTTCATTGTCGATGAAGTCGTCGAGTTTCTTGTCACTGTTGCTGTTAAGAAGCTGCCTTCCTGACAAAATGCTGCTGGCGACAGAGTAACAACCCCTCGCCACTCTGCCTTTATCAAAACCCCACCGTCCCTCCCTCCGCACGTTTGCATAGAGATTACAGTGATCACATAAATCGACACATGTTCCTCATTATTACGAGTAATTATAACTTTATTGCATCCATCCATTCTAATGTATATCTTAATATCATATGTTGGTGGAAACAAAAGTATATTGATCTGTCACTTGAAAGTGTCTTTATTGTAAATTTAGCGATCTTGCGATCAGATTGCCTCACCGGGATTTTGCCACCAGTGTGCAAAAAGGTTATTTCATTATATATTTCTTGTTAGAGGAAATATACATCAGTATATCAATAAAAACGCATTCTAAAGTTCTATTATTATTATCTTTCCTTTATGTGCTAACCATTTGGTAATCTAACGTTTGACAGTTATAGCTTAACTTGAATAAGCTAGAAAATAAAGAATCGTGAAATAACCCCGCTGTACATTTGGAGTATTCTTATAGAATTTTGTGTTCATTTGGAAAATTGTTATTGTCTTTGAATAATAGCATATATCTTTAAAAGTAGAAAACTAGTTGGATCACTGCTGAGTTTTTTCCAAAGCCCTTCATTAAATCAGTATTTACATTGCTCAGTATTTATCTTTACATTTAGAAACCTTTGAAAATAGGACCAACAAAAAGTGCAACTTCTGATTCCAAAGTTCCCAAAACTATCCTTCTGATTTTGAATCCCACTAAAAGATCGCCTCACTTTTGTTCTGATCGGTCCAATTTTCAAACGCAGGTTCTAAATGGAGAGTTTGGCAATGCAATGAGATAATTTCTCAAGTAACTGAATATGTGTATGCCAACCCGTTTGATGTAAATCCTTGTGTGATGGCAACACCACTTTGTGAGTTAATATGCCTCTTGATTGTCTGTTCCTCTTGTCCACTTCATCTGGGAAGTGACCTGACAGTTAAATTAAACTTGAACCCCCTCGAGTTAATCCCACCACAAACAGGGATATGGGTATATGGCTGAAACATTGCTGGATACCACTGGAAATAAGTTACCTCAACTTCTGAAACTATTTTGAACAAGGCCACATTGTCACTGCTGAGTATTTCCAAAGGCCTTCATTAAAGGAAACAGGTTTACATATGTGTGAACCTAATCAATATATTATCTGTTGTTAACATGTCCAAGGATGTTTATTTAATTTTGTATCATGATGTTATTTCCGATTGTCTTCTGCTATATTCGCATAGAGAACATTTTGAGGGTACTAAACACAATTCATTCTGTGTCATTTAATGAATAGATACAATATTTACTTTTATGCCAAACGAATTGATCTTGACACTTTACAGATGGACATGCTACACTATCTTATGAAATCAACTAAAAACATTGAAATACATTTCTTCTCCTTAATAAGTATCGTCATTTCTATGTCGTTTCAAGTGTATTCACAGGGAGAGGCAATTAACCATGTACGAGAAACCCTGTTCCTCGCTCATCAAAGTGACATGTCTTGAAATAATGAAACTTTTGCTTAAAGAATCGTAAACCAAACTCATTCACCCACTCATCTGTCAGCTTTTATAGTTGTACATATCTTAAAATGACGTGTGCATATACTCACGAGAACACGTCAATACACTTTACTGGCAAGAAGTATGTGATTCATAAGGTCGTTATTATATCCGCCAATTAAGACTGTATATTTTGTCAGGGTAAAATTGTCTGATGATTAATCTTCAATATATTCTTTCAGTTTCAGCCAGAACGTTTTCAGACACTCACATTCCCAATAAACATGTATCAAATTTTCTGACATTAAATTACAAAATGAGCAAAGTTCATCATCTACTAATTTCATTCTCAATAATTCTTTCTTTGTGTAGACTATATTGTGGATAAATTTAAACTGGAAGTCAATCAATTTAGTATCTTTTGTACATCTTCTATATTTTCTAAAAATATCTTGCCATGGAATTGCAATATCAAAGATATTTTGCCATTTTTCACATGTTGAAGGTAGGTTTTCAGTAGTTATAAGTTTATCATAGAAATATCTGGATCTCTTTGGTGCTGAAAGTAAATCTATCAGTGATGTGTTAAGATAAATGATTATGAACAATTCATAGATTCTTTCTTGTAGTTTCTTTCTATTTTGGGGGTATATTTGAAAGAACCTGATAATAGTCAAGAATTGTGCCTTTAATTTTGTAAGTTTTCTTAAGTTCATAAATGGCAAAATACCTTGATCATTACACAAGTCTCTTATAGAGTGAATACCTTTGAGATGCCAATGTCTTATTATGAAATTACTATTTTGGAATTGGTTATTAAACCAAAGGGGTTGGGATAAGATTTGATAAATATCTGTAAAATCAGTTTTTTGTGTTTTATAGAATATTCCCCATGCAGCCAATACATCTTTCCAATAGGGATTCGTAATACTGACATAATTTTCAATATTGGCTCCAAGCAGAAATATATCTTTAAATGGAAAGATACTAGGGCTAGAACTGCTATTAGTTTGAAGATATTTATGTTAAACTAACAGTTTTGAAGAGTTTATGAATACCTGTACATTAACCATTCTGAGACACACCTACCTCCTATTTTTGTAATAAGTGTCGTAAGATGAATTCATAAGATATATTGTTTAATTTGTCAATGAATTCCTTTGGAGGATTTAGGAGTGAAGGAATATATGCGCCAATGATGAAAGTGCTAATGTTTTAATAATAGTTATTTTCCCTATTAATGTTAACTTTCTTTTCCTCCAATTCCCTAGAGTTCTATTAATAATTTCTAGTCTTTTTCTTGTATTAATTACCCAAAGGTTATTCAAATTAGGATTACGTCTTATTCCTAGAAGATCAAAATCCCCATTATGCCAATCAAGCTTAAGATCCTGGCATAAAAGCATGCTATTACCTGCCATTGAGCCTATCCACACTGCTTTCGTTTTATCTATATTTATTCTTAAACCAGACATTTTGTAGAAATTATTGAGAGTGGCAGTTGCTGCCCTTAAACTTTCTTCACGCCCATCGAGAAATAATTCAGTATCATCAGCATACTGTCCAATATTATGTTCAGTGTTATTCAATGTAATTCCTTTTATTGCAGTGTTGTTACGGATCATTATTCCTTAAATTTCAGCCACTAAGATGAATACATAGGGAGAGACTGGGTCCCCTTGTCTACAGCCCCTTTCATTGTCAAAACATTTTGATAAATGACCATTCTATATAACACATGATGTAGCATTATTGATTAATACTTTGATCCATTTTTCCATATTGGGTCCAAAGCCAAACTTTCCAATTGTTAAAATTATAAATTCTTTAGAGACAGTGTCAAAAGCTTTTTCAAAGTCAATAAGTTACAAAAGTCCCTTTTTATCTTGTACTTTTGCTTCAAACATAATGTCGTATAATAATCTAATGTTCTCGCTTCCAAGTATAAAACCTATCTGAGTTTAATGAATAAGAGTATTCAATGGGTTTTTTTAATTCTATTGGCTATACATGTTACACAGTTATAATTTATGATAGTAACATTTCACAGTTAAAATTATGATACAGATCAACTTCCCTCAGGTAGTTGACTATCAGATGAGCGCTCATGCGGGAGAACAGATCTTTTAGGTTTGTTGCATCATAATGTGAGTCCCTTGCAGACGATAAGTCCACGCATTCAAGCAGAATATGCTTGATGGTGAAAACCTCATCGCAAGAGACACACATGGGGGGTCCATCCCCATCCGTTTTCAGCAGATAGTCATGAGTAAATCGGCTGTGGCCAATACGACATCATCGTAAAATTACCTAATCACGTTCGACTGACAACCCAAGTAGGTATAACCAATTGTTGGTTTCAATTCATACAGTTTATTTCTTCCTACTTGATTGTCCCATCGTTTTTGCATGAGGTCCCTAGTATAGCTTTTGATAGTGGGTTTGAAATCACTGTACAGAATCAGCAGTGGAGATAAGGGCTTCTCAAGAGCTGCTTTAGCTGCAGCATCGGCTTTTGTGTTACCTGCTATGGCGACGTGACCCGGCAACCAGCAGAGCTCGATGTCACATTGGCCAGTAGAGAGGTCGTTGTAAAGTTCCAAAATGTCCAGAATGATGGGGTGGCTTGAAATAACATTTTGAAGTGCTTGAAGGCAAGATAATGAATCTGTGAAAACGATGCAGTTTTGGGAAAGTTTCTGCTGTTTAATATAGGTCAGAGCTGAAAAGATAGCTTTGGCCTCGGCAGTGAAAATGGAACTGTTGTCGGGAATCCTAGAGGAGACAGTCTTAGATCCAATGACTGTAGCACTGGCGACTTGTCCCTCATCCATGGATCCGTCTGTGAAAATGGATATATGGGTGTCATACTTGGAACGTAACTGGATGTATTCCTGCTGGAACACTAAGGGATTTGTTTCACACCTTTTTAATTTAGTGAGGGTAAGATCGACCTGTGGTTTCACCATCTGCCAGGGTGGTGAAGACAAGAGTCGGTAAGATGCTATGCTATTGAGATCAATTTTAGCTGCAGATATGTGTTGTTAAATTCTGATTCCAAGTGGTGGAACCAGGCTTGGCAGTTTAGGAAACAAGTTTTCATAGAGAGGGTTGAAAACACAATTGTATGCTGGATTGGACTGATATGAACGTAGTTTAGTGATATACAGCAGTGAAAGGTTAATGCGGCGTTGTTCAAGGGAAGGTTCGTTAGCCTCTGCATATAGACTGTCCACCGGAGAGGTCCTAAAAGCTCCCAGGCCTTGGTGGTCGACAGAATCTCATTTTTCCTAATTGCTTTTGCAGGCTCCACCATACACAATGGAGCCGTAGTCTAGTTTAGAGCAAACCAAAGATCTGTACAAGTGAAGGAGGGCAATCTGATCCACTCCCCACTCGACTTTCACTAAGTCCAGAGCCTTCAAGCACTTGGTTTTCAAATATTTTATGTGTGGCAAGAATGTCAGGTGGCGGTC